GAGAGAGAGAGAGAGAGAGAGAGAGAGAGAGAGAGAGAAAGATGATTACTATAGGAGCTGTGCGCTGCATACGTTCTTTGTATTATTGTACAACGCATTGAGCACTTCATTGAGGAAATGCACTATATAAATGCATATTATTATTATTAATATTACTATTAACAAATGAAGAAGTCTTAGTTAAAGCAAATTGCAGACGACAGCTTAAGACGAATGTACGAAAGCGACAGGCAAATTTCATTGGACACTCAATGCGGAAAGAAGCATTGGAGAATATTGTAACAACAGGAAAGTTTGATGGAAAAAGAGGCAGAGGTAGACAGAGGGAAACTATACTGGACAAGTTAACAACATGGCTGGGAACAGAAAGAACAACAGACACCATAGCTACAACGCAGGGCAGAGGGAAGTTGAGGTCCATGATCGGCAAATCACCGGATGATGATGAGTATTATTATTACTAGCTGGACCCCCTTTCGATGAAAGGAATGGTCGGTGCATTAACATCAACTGAAAGTCATTGGCCTACTCTATTTACACTCTACTGGAATGGAGAAATAAATCTTGAGAGATGCTAAAAAATAGAAGGTATAGATTATAGAGATGTATAGATTGATTCTATATATTCTGCTTTCTCTGCTTTCGTGGTTGTACACTCCATAATTTCAAAGGTGTGGGACCAATGGGTACTGCTAGTGAACGGAAAACTCACTTGTTTATAATGGCGCCTTAGAAGACGGCCTTTCCCAAGATTAGATCTATATAAAACTAATGAAAAACTGAAAATTAAACTACAGTGACTTCAGGCTCATCAATGAAACTGTGCACTCTTTAAATGATTCTGAACCAGCATTAATTCTGTCAAATTCGAAAGTTAATTCGGGAGTTTTAGGCCGCCAAAGTGACGAACTTTCACAAATATATATAAGGTACATCTTTATAAGATAAGGTACATCTTTATAAGATAAGATACATCTTTATAAGATAAGGTACATCTTTATAAGATAAGGTACATCTTTATAAGATAAGGTACATCTTTATAAGATAAGATACATCTTTATAAGATAAGGTACATCTTTATAAGATAAGGTACATCT